GTGAGCCAGCGCGCCTGGCCTCCAAGACATTTTATTTTTTGTATTTATTTATTTATTTTTAATATGAAGGGAGTGGGGAAGTAAGGTTCAATTTCCTTTTTTTTTTTTTGAGACAGAATCTTCTCATTCTGTCACCCTGGATAGAGTGCTGTGGCATCATTGTAGCTCATTGCAATGAGCTCAAGGGATCCTCCTGCCTCAGCCTCCTGAGTAGCTGAGACCATAGGTACACGCCATGACGACTGGCTAATTTTTCTATTTTTAGTAGAGACGGGGTCTCACTCTGCTCAGGCTGGTCTCGCACTCCTGAGCTCAAGCAATCCTCCCTCCTCGGCCTCCCAGAGTGCTAGGATTACAGGCATGAGCCACCTTGCCCAGCCTCCAATACATTTTCATCACCCATACCCATAACAAACCCTTAACTCACTAAGCAGTCAATCCGCATCCTCCCTTCCTCCAGCACCCGGAAACCACTAATTTGCTTTCTGTCTCCATGGATTTACCTACTCTGGATATGTCATATAAATGGGGTTATACAGTAGGTGGCCTCCTGTGTCTGGTCGCTTTCACTTAGCATAATGTTTTGGAGATTTGTCCATGTTGTAGCATGTATCAGTACTTCATTCTTTTTATGGCCAAACAATATTCCACTGCATGGATATTCCGCTTGTTCTTTGTCCATTCACCATTGGTGGACATTTAGGTTGTTTCCACTAGACATGACTTTTTAAAAGGTTATACCCTGTTATACCCTAACTCTGTAGCCCTGAAAGCAGCCTGTCCCTCTTTCATCAGTGGCATGCTCTTGAGTGTAAGAGACTGCCCAGAGGTACATCTGCACGGGCACTCTGGCCTCTACTAACTAATGCAGGTCTCCAAGCCTGGTGCCTTTTACATTCCTCACCCCACTTCTTTCAAATTTCATCCTTGACCCACTGTTCTCCATCTTTCTCCACACCTAGGAGATGACAAGTATGGGCGGAAGATCATTGTGTTTAGTGCCTGTCGAATGCCTCCCAGCCACCAGCTGGACCACAGCAAGCTCCTGGGGTGAGTACCCATGGGGAAGTCTGGTGAGACCTTTGCCACCAGAATAGCCTAATGCCATTTTGCGGGCCACCTCTCTTAATGCCTCCCCTCTTCTCGGGAGGGAGCTTTTTTATATTTGGGGGAGAGCACTGGACTAGCAGTCTGACCAACTTTCTAGGTATGGATACTGTGACCTTGGCCAGCATCTTTAAGCCTCGTTTTCTTCACCTTTCAAAGGAGACAATAATATAGCCTGCCTTCTTTAGAGGAGATACTGCACATGAAAATGCTTTGAAAGGTATAATACCTTCCATATGTGAGGACTAATTATTACAATTATATGGTATTTCTGTTGTGGTTGCAATTATTTATCATTTATATGAACAATTAGTGTTATCTTATTTCTGGCCAAATTAAGTGTCAATGATTTCTGTACCTATGTGGGTTCTGTTAGCCAAGTATACATAATAGCTCTGGCTCGTCTATTCATCCCCTGATTCAAGGCCAAAGGCTGGTGAATGCAGAAGTTTGACAGACCCCATTCTGATAACCATTCACTATCCAGCCAGCGCTGGGCCCACTGTGTGCGGGCCCTCCACAGAGGCAGAGCAGTGACTCACCTTCTCCTACCGTCCCTCACGGTGTGTTACAGTGACGTCTTATACTCCTTTCCTGACCAGTTTAAAACATTCCTTGAAATTTAAAATTCCGGGCTGGGCATGGTGGCTCACACCTGTAATCCTAGCACTCTGGGAGGCTGAGGCAGGAGGATCACTTGAGCTCAAGAGTTCGAAACCAGTCTGAGCAAGAACAAGACTTTGTCTCTACTAAAAATAGAAAAAATTAGCTGGATGTGGTGATTCATGCCTATAGTCCCAGTTACTGGGGAGGCTGAGGCAGGAGGATTGCTTGAGCCCAGGAGTTTGAGGTTGCTGTGAGCTAGGCTGACACCACGGCACTTGCCCGGGCAACAGAGTGAGAGACTCTGTGTCAAAAAAAAAATTAAAAATAAAATGGCCGGGCGCGGTGGCTCACGCCTGTAATCCTAGCTCTCTGGGAGGCCGAGGCGGGCGGATTGTTTGAGCTCAGGAGTTCGAAACCAGCCTGAGTAAGAGCGAGACCCCGTCTCTACTAAAAATAGAAAGAAATTAACTGGACAACTAAAAATATATAGAAAAAATTAGCCGGGCATGGTGGTGCGTGCCTGTAGTCCCAGCTACTCGGGAGGCTGAGGCAGGAGGATCGCTTGAGCCCAGGAGTTTGAGGTTGCTGTGAGCTAGGCCACGGCACTCACTCTAGCCCAGGCAAAAGAGTGAGACTCTGTCTCAAAATAAAATAAAATAAAATAAAATTCCGGCACTGTCCCTAGCAGCTCTTTGAGATCATGATTGGTCGTGTGCATGTGGGAGGTGGTGTGGGGTAGGGGCAGGCCCAGAAGACCATATCAGAAGGGGAGAGGCCTGGGCTTGGAGTCTCAGCTGGTCCCGGGTGAGCCAGGCCGAGGCTGAGTCCTTCCCACATTGTCTGTGAGTTCTTTCTCCTTGGCCTCCTGAACCCCCTCTCCCACTGCTGCTCCTACCCCTCTGTGAGGCAGGCAGAGCCTTGTCCAGGCCTGCCATGGGCCCAGTCTGAAGGTGGCTGAGTCACATGCCCTCTCCTCTAGTATTTTCACAGTGTCTGATGTACCAGGTGACAGATTCCTGGCCAGACGATAATCTGAGTGGAGGAAGTCAGGATAGGGGTGGGAAAGCACCCAGCTTTTAGGAGACAGCTTGCTGAGTGAGGCTTCACCTGCTCTGGGACTTCATTGGGTTCAGGAAGCCCTCTGCCACCCGCTGCTGTGTGTCTGTGTGTCCTTCATCCCTCCCTGGGCTGGACGCTGTCCCTGTTTTCAGTCATATTATCTCAGGCTTGGCTTTTCCCAGGTGTCCATCCAGATCTGGGGGGTTGAGATAGAAAGTACCAGAAGCTTAGAAATCGGAAGACAAACTTCAGCTCTTCCTCTTTCTAGCTGTGTGCTTTGGGGTAGGTCATTTCTAAGCCCTGTAAAAATGAGAACTGTCCACCTCACAGGGTTGTGAGCATTAGGTAAGATAGTATACATGAAATGCCATTGTATACATTTTAAATTATTACAGTGTCAAGAGTTTAGAAAAATGTGGTAGCCATAAAGAAAAAAATATAGACAACTATGAAAAAAAAAGTCTCTCACAAACCTACCACCCAGAGAGAAAATCACTATTAATATTTTGGTGTAGTCATTTCCTATTTCTTTATATAACATATGGAACTGTCTAGTCAGTTTTATATCTTACGTAATATTTTTATGTTCTGATCATTACACATTCTTCAAAGATTTTTATTTTTATTTTTTATTATTTTTGAGACAGAGTCTCGTTCTGACACCCCAGTTAGAGTGCAGTGGCATCATCATAGCTCACTGCAAACTCAAACTCCTAGGCTTAAGTGATTCTTCTGCCTCAGCCTCCTAAGTAGCTGAGACTACAGGCATGTGCCACTATGCCCAACTAGTTTTTCTATTTTTTTGTAGACATGGGGTGACACTTTCTCGTTCAGGTTGGTCTCAAATTCCTGGCCTCAAGCAATCTACCCACCTAAGCCTCCCAGAGTGCTAGGATTACAGGAATGAGCCACTGCACCCGGCCCAAAGACATTCTTTATAAAAACATTATCTGATATATAAACAGAAAAGTGAACAAATTTTAAGTGTACTTTATGATGAGTTTGCAAAAACTGAACTCATCTATGTCACCCACACCCCATAAAGGGTAACCACTGTTCTGACATCTGACTTCACAGATTACTTCTGTCTACAGAAACATCCTGTGAGATGTGAGATATTCTATTTAGGGATGTCCTGTGATTTGTTTAACCAATTCCCTGCTGTTGCACAGTTAGCTTACTGCACAATTTTTTTTTCCATCATAAAATAGGCTACAAAAATGTTTCTGTTTCCCTCTGGTTATTTCCTTAGGATAAATTCCTGGACATATTTTTACAGGGTCAGAGTATGAACATGTCATAGCTTCTATTAAACATCACTTTATGGTCCTCCAAAATGTTATAACATCCATCAGTGGATGAGGGTATCTATTTTCACTACAATCTTTGCTATTTTTATAATTGCAAAATGCAAGTATGTTTATATGACAGCTCTTTGTAAAGTGCTCAGTGCGTAGAAGGGCTAGGTTATTGTGTTTGTGATAATGATCGGAATCACAATTCTAATCCACTATTAGCCATATCACGTGCCTGCCCATGCTGGCCCAGCCCTGTGCCGTGGGCCAGTATCTAGGTTTCTCTCTTTGAGTCGAGTTGATCTGGGCACTTCCCCAGGCTTCTTCCTTGCCTTGCCTTGGAAGTCCTTAGCATTCTGCCTGCCCATCCTCCTAGCCTGAAGTGTTGTCCCTGCTGCAGCCTGGGAGCTGGTTGGCCAACCAGAAAGAGGGCTTTACACTGGACTCCCCTCCCTTCCTCGAATTCTTGTTCATTCCACCCATTCTTCTTGGTGCGCTCAACATCAAGTGTGTGTGTGTGTGTGTGTGTGTGTGTGTGCGTGTGTCAAGACGGTAGATGTCGTGTTGTGAGCATAGGGAACCTGAGGAGATGGGGCTCTTTAGTCTACCATACCAATAGCCCAGTGACTGGAACAGCTGACCTTCTGGCCCGATCACCCCTCATGGGCACGGTGGCGTTCACATGTAAAAGGCAGAGCTGTCCCATGGTCAAGAATGCAGGCATTGGAGTTAGACATTTCACCTCCAGGCTCCACAAGTGTGTGACCTTGGATAAGCCCTTCGCCTCTCCCGTCATTTCCCTCATTTATGAGCCTCTGTTGTGAGGAAGGAATGAGATAATGTATGCCACATGCTTGGCAGACACTAAAAGCTTAATGTTGATAAATGGTGACTATCATCATCATTACTGACTCAGGGCAATCCCATGAGGGGGATGTCATTCTCATTTTTATTTCAGATATGTGAGAGATCCTGGATTAGAGTCCTGGTCTCCTGACTGTAGTCTGTGCTCAAAAATGAGAGCTATTGGCCGGGCGCGGTGGCTCACGCCTGTAATCCTAGCACTCTGGGAGGCAGAGGCGGGCGGATCGCTCAAGGTCAGGAGTTTGAGACCAGCCTGAGCAAGAGCGAGACCCCATCTCTACTAAAAAATAGAAAGAAATTATCTGGACAACTAAAAATATATATATATAAATTAGCCGGGCATGGTGGCGCATGCCTGTAGTCCCAGCTACTCAGGAGGCTGAGGCAGAAGGATTGCTTAAGCCCTGGAGTTTGAGGTTGCTGTGAGCTAGGCTGACGCCACGGCACTCTAGCCAGAGCAACAGAGTGAGACTCTGTGTCCAAAAAAAAAAAAAAATGAAAGCTGTTGTTATTCCTGTGCCCAGCCACTGCCCTGTGCCTCCTCACAGGAGCACAGTGACTGATTATGCAGCCAGAACAGACCATGCAGGGGAGGGCTTGTGGGAAGGGGGATGACATAGCCGGAGAGCCCAGGGCACCAGTTTTTGTCTTAATGGGGGTGACACTTGTGCACGGGGCAGACCTGAGCAGGGCTTTTCTCTGGAAGGTACCTGAAGCACACCCTGGACCAGTACGTGGAGAGCGACTACACACTGCTCTACCTGCACCACGGCCTGACCAGTGACAACAAGCCCTCACTCAGCTGGCTCCGGGATGCCTACCGGGAGTTTGACCGCAAGTGGGTTGGGGTGTGGGCATGGGCATGGGCTTCAGGGCCTCGGGCAGGTGGCTCTGGAGCCAGCTGCCCGGTTCTAAGCTATTCTCCCCTTGGGCAGGAGCTTATTCCATGCCATGGGGACGCAGGTGTCCCTATCTGGGTAAACAAAAAGAATCCAAAGTGAGAACAGCCTAGGCTTAAATCCCAGTTTCTCTACTTACTCACACTGTGAACCCTCATGTTATTTAACCTCTCCGAGCCTCCTGTTTCCTAATCTGTAAAATGGGGCAACAGTGGCACTTAGCTTACTTGCTGCCATGCGTGTTCAAATCAGAAAATGTACACTGAGCCTCTAGCTTTATGTGCCTCCTACCACCCCTGCTCCCGAGCTCCCCGCTCTGCCTCTGCAGGTACAAGAAGAACATCAAGGCCCTGTACATCGTGCACCCCACCATGTTCATCAAAACCCTGCTCATCCTCTTTAAGCCCCTCATCAGGTGAGCGGCTGCGGGTGGGGCAGGTGGGACCAGAGGAGCCCAGGCACCCTGGGACCACCAGTTTGGGTCTAGGCCTCTGTCTGGACTGGAGGGCTGTTGAGGGAGAGCAGAGGCCTGCTGACGCGGGCACACCCCCACCCAGGCCTTTTCCTCCATCGGCAGCTTCAAGTTTGGGCGGAAGATCTTCTATGTGAATTACCTGAGTGAGCTGAGCGAGCACGTGAAACTGGAGCAACTGGGGATCCCTCGACAAGTGCTCAAGTGAGGCGGGGTGGGGTGCGTGGCCTGGCAGGGCGCATGCGCATGCTGCGTTTGTGGGGCAGGGCAAGCCCGCCCAGGGCAGAGGAAGCCTCGAGGAGCCAGGATAACTGGAGGAAGCAAGTGTCATGATTCAGAGACTGCCTACGGGTCGGACAGAGCAAGTTCAAACCCCATTTCTGTCCTTTAAAGGCTGTGTGACTGGATCTCTTCAAAGTCTGTTTTCTCAGGTGCAAACTGGGACTGTTATGAGGATTACATGAAATAATAATTTACTGCTTGTAAAACAGCACAGTAAATGCCTGATAAAATTTGTTGTAGCGACTCCAGATCCAGGCAGAGGGCCTGAGCCTTCTTCCTTCTGCTCCTGCAGGTATGATGACTTCCTCAAATCCACACAGAAGAGCCCCGCGACAGCCCCCAAGCCCATGCCGCCACGGCCCCCCCTGCCCAACCAGCAGTTCGGGGTCTCCTTGCAGCAGTGAGTATGCCAAAGCGTGTGGGCGGGCATGGCTGGGGACAGGGAAGGGCTGCAGACCCAGCTCACTGCCCTTGTTCCCACAGCCTCCAGGAGAAGAACGCAGACCAGGAGCCTATTCCCATTGTGCTCAGGGAGACCGTCGCCTACTTACGGGCCCACGGTGAGTGCCCAGAGCCCCCACCTCATCCTCAGCTGGGTCTCCCAGTCCCCTCAGGAAGCTGCTGGGCAGGGCTGAGAGAGGTCCTGTGTGCATCAGCACCCTGACCCTGACTGGAACCCCAAGACAGAGAGTAGTCAGGGAACCCAGTACCCAGAGCCCCAAGACTCACCAGGTCTCACCGTTTCCCAGCTCTCACCACCGAGGGGATTTTCCGGAGGTCGGCCAACACGCAGGTTGTGCGGGAAGTGCAGCAGAAGTACAACATGGGTGAGTGGTCCCGGGCCGTGGCCAGGCCCACAGGGCCAGAACGGCTCCTCCGCTGCCCTGTAAGGGAGGGCTCCAGATTCCCTTCCTGTTAGAGGTTTCTGTGGCACTCGGTGTCACTGCGTAGGTCTCACTTCTGCCTGGCTGTCCCAGGCCTGCTGCCTCATTGGTTCAGGCTCATGCAGAGGTGAGGAATAACACAGTGTGGGCTGGGGGCCCACCACACCCAGACGGCTGGAACCCACATCCCCTCATCCAGAGGAAGAGGGGAGACAGGCGCAAGAGGACAGTGCTGGGAGGAGGGGCTCGGGCAGTGGGACTGCGGGCCGAGCTCCTGTCTGCGCTTCCCCACCCCCAGGGCTGCCTGTGGACTTTGACCAATACAATGAGTTGCACCTGCCAGCAGTCATCCTCAAGACCTTCCTTCGGGAGCTTCCAGAGCCTCTGCTAACCTTTGACCTCTACCCCCACGTTGTGGGCTTCCTCAGTGAGTGCCCCTCCCCTGCCCCCAGCTGTGCAGGTCTCTCTCGGGCCTGGACTTGGGGCAGATGTGCTTGGCCATCTGTCCACCCACCCTGCCGGCTTGTGAACCCAGGTGTCTCCAAGGAAAGTCTGTTTGGAGCTTCCCTGAACCAGCCTAGCCCAGGGCCCCTCTAACCTCGGCCCCTTTCCTCATAGACATTGATGAGAGCCAGAGGGTGGAGGTGACGCTGCAGGTCCTCCGGACGCTGCCAGAGGAGAACTACCAGGTGCTTCGTTTCCTGACTACCTTCCTGGTGCAGGTGAGGCCTCAGCCTCAGCCTCTACCACTCACGTGGGGGGAAAGGGAGGAAGGAGGAGGGGCTGCCCCTTCGCTGCTTCGTGGTTGGTGGGAGTAGGAAGAGGCTCTGTGGCTTCCTGCTGTAGCCCCCCGATTCCCTCCACAGATTTCTGCGCACTCCGACCAGAACAAGATGACCAACACTAACCTGGCTGTCGTCTTCGGTCCTAACCTGCTGTGGGCCAAGGATGCTGCCATCACCCTCAAGGCCATTAATCCCATCAACACCTTCACCAAGTTCCTCTTGGACCACCAAGGGGAGTTGTTCCCTAGCCCTGAGTCCAAGGGGCTCTGAGCCCAGCGCCTGCCCTGCCAGCCCCCTTCTCTGGTAGCCTCAGTTTGGACTCTTCCTCCTGGCATCGGCCTTACAGGAGCCCAGGGCTCCCACCCAGGAAGGGGCCATGAAGCCTCCTGGAGATGATGCTGGAGCCACCCACCAGGCAGCTCCTCCCCACTGTCCGCCTGCCTCGCTGGCCCTGGAGGCCTCGCTGTTACCATCAGACATTTTTCTTTGCCTTATGATTCTCACTGCCTCTCTGGACCCCTGGCTCCTGCTGGGCCCTCCGGAGCTGGGCTCGGCTCTTCCAGCTCGAGAAGAACTGCACCCCAGCAACCCCCTTTCCTGCTTTTTCCTGCCTTTCTTTCCCTGGCAACTGTGGATGACAGAGTCACTGCCAGCTGGGCTGGTAGCAGGGCCTGGTCCTCCCCTTCTGATTGCTGGGGGAGGAACAGCTAATCTCTTCGACTCGGCCACACTGAGGCACCTCCCTGTCTGGGTCTGTCGACCTACTTTTTAGAAGTACCTCTGTGTGGAGCCCTGGACACAGGCACCCTGCTCTTGTCCTGCCTTCAGCAGCTCAGCCTGGGTCTTTCACAGCTGAGGAAGGACAAGACTGGAGCCTGCTTCCTCCTCCTGCCTTCTTCTCGTCCACATACCCTGGGCCAGCCTTTCCCAAGTGGTACTGCCCCCAGGGTGGCCTAACCTCCTGTTCTGCCAGGACTGGCAGCTTGGATGACAGGGCTCAGAGTCCCGGCATCCATTTGAAATAGACTCCTCCCTGCCAAGCCCTCGTGTCTGGTTGGATCAGTGACAAGCAGTGCCCGCCCTCCACGCCTGCCTCCTCTCTCGTGTGGACAGAGCCTCAGCCTGTGGACCTGTCCGTTTGTGGGGTCACTCTGGCCAGAGGTGACTCAGTGCCTCAGGATCTGCAGTGGCTCTTTCCTCCAGCTGGGGGACTCTTAAAGAGGCTGGGGTGGAGGCTCAGAGTGCCCACAGGAGGGGCAGAGATTTTGCTAATAGGTCAGCCCCTGACAGGTGGGTTCTAGCAATCTCCCCAAGGGAGTATGGGGCCTCAGGGCCCTGTTGTTTTTCAGAAAACCTGGATCCCAGTGACGGTTATTAACCCTCATTCCAGCTGTGTCCCTTAGAATCATACTCCTTTTTCATGAACTGTGGGGACACCCCCTTCCTGCAGCCTTGACCCCTGGTAGCAGGGCAGCACCTGCAGCGACCCTGCCCCCACAGCCTTGGCCAGGCAGGGATCCTCACTGACCAGCCCCATCTATGAGGCAGGCGGGGCCTGGCCTGACCTCACTGGGCTCTCCCCAGGCCACCTGCGGCATGTCTGGACTCCCGGAGCCTGGAGCTGCTGCTGATTCTCGGTGTGTCTCTAGCCTGGGCCGCTCTGCTTTCTGTCCTTTGTATATCAAGTGTCGCTCACAGCCCCATTCACTGGGGAGCCTTTTGGATCTCTTCGGTCTTTCTCCTGTCCCCTGCCCCACTGGTCTGTACCTGGGGGAGGGGGCGCTTGTACTGTGAATCAAGTGTTCACATTCACACTTCGTGACTTCCTTGGCACCAATCATGTATTTCACCGTTTGCACTTTTTGTATTTCAATAAAAATGGAGATAGAAAACTGCCCATCTGGCTGTGACGGAAGTGAGTTAGGCGTAGCGGTTCGGGACTGGATGGGAAGTGTGGTGTGGTTGAGGAAGAGCAGCCAAGGCCTTGGGAAGGCCCCTCCCCAGGCCATCTGCCCCCTTCCCCATCTGGTCCACCCGGGAGTGGTTACGAGGCCGGCTTCCTGTCCACCTTCCAGGCGTGGAAGGGTCAACAGTTGCCTTCTGCTTGTCTGCACCTGCATTCCAGCTGCCACTAGAGCTGTATCCTATGACCAGGGCCTCTTCTACTCCCTACTGGAAGGCACCAGAAGCTTGAAGGGGCCTTGGGTTCATCTAAGACAAGCAGGGCAGAAACAGATGGCATGGACGGTGGTGGACAGCAGTGTGGGCTTTGGAGTCACGTGAGGGTTTGAATCCTCATTCCGCCACCCATCGGCTCTGACAGCCAGCCGTGTCATCAGCCCCAACTCCGCGACAGCTTCTTGTCGGAAGTGCTTCCTCTGAGGATCAGAAATGTGTGCCGTACCTCACACAGTGGGCACTCAGTGGTGAGAGAGTGACCATCGGCTCGCGGGCAAATGAAGCGATCATCCCAAACTCACGCGGCAGCCGGCTGGGAGCCTGCAGCGTCTGGCTGTTCTCTCCTGCCTGCCCCTAGGCTGAGAGGCCAGGCTGTTTCCACACCGCCTAGTCACATGGAGGCTGTGAAAGACCCAGTTTTCCCGTCTTCTCTTGAGCAGGTTTTGTTTTGCTTTAAAGGTTAAGATGGTAAATTTTATGTTTTACATATTTTACTACAGTTTTTTCTAATGGTTTGTCAATGGAGGGGGAGGACAGAATTTTCCTGGCTATTTAAGTCAAGTTCCAGGTATTTCTGGCTTGCCTGCTAATTGCAATCAGTAGACTATTGTGGCCTCAGTTGGGCCTGTTCTTTTTTCTCCTCCTTGCTGGGCGAGCCGGGCCAGAGCCGGAGGATCGGGCGGTGTTAAGCTGGTGTTTATAAACACTGGCCCTGAGCCCCAAGACATTAGTCCCGTTGCACAACTGTGGCCTTCATCCAGGTACCTCGAAGCAGAAGGCATTGGCAGCCTCCTCTCTCTCCCTGGATCTGCTCAGCTCTAGCTGGGTGACTTTGGAACAGAGAGGCAGTGACCCAGAGAAGCAGGAGAGTGAGCGAGACCAGGGAGCTGTTTACTTGGGTTGGGCTCCTGGCAGGGCCTCTGCTGAGTGACTCAAATGCCAGTTTACCAAGGCCTTAGCAACTGCGGGTCTCCAGGGTAGAGTGTGGGGAGATGCTTTAAAGGGGTAGGACACCATTGCTGGTCATGGGGCACCCAAGCACTTTGCTTTGAGGGGTCCCAACTGAAGGGGACAGTCAGTCTCTTCACCATGTTTGACCCAGGGCTTGGGAAACTCTGTGCTGGCTGGCTGCATGGTCAGTGTCATGTGTAGTTTACTAACAAGCAAGGATTCCCAGGCCCCAGGTTTGGGCTGAATTTAGAATTTTCTAACCATCCCTTTTTTGTCCTGGATACTGGCTTCAGCCTGAAGCAGGTGGGGTGGCAACCCAGATAGCAGCTGCCCAGCTCTGGTCAGTTATTCTCTTTTGCATCTAGAACCATCTCTGCCTCTGGATGTTGGCTCCACCTTCAGCTCCCTCTGCCCACAGTGGGTACAAACAAGGAGGCTGGGCTGGCTTAGACAGGGTTGAGATGCCTGCAGCCACAGCCCCCAAAGGCCAGGCAGACTGATCCCTGCAGGGCTCTTCTACTTTTCATGGCTTTTCAGAGACCAGCTGGTGCCTTCGCTGGGGCCACCGGTCAGATCAGGGCAGCTAACAAACCTGCACCAGCCCTTGATTTCCTGCCACTTCCCTCCACCCCTTCCCCTCTCTGGCTGCTCTCTGGCCTTGCTCAGCCACAGTGCGCCCCAGACAGCCGAGGGAGCCCCACTCCTCTACTGGCACCTTGTCTCTCCCTTGTCCTGTTATGTAAGGGGCTGGTGACAATGCCTACATTTTATGGAGATTTTGCTAAGGTGTACTTTGTATCCATCCTCTCACTGAATATTCAAATACAAGCCTCGTGACAGGCAACTGAGGCTCTGAGAGGTTTCCTGATCGCCGTGGGTTGCATAGCCAGTAAGCAGCCATGGCCAAGCCCCAGGACTCAAACAGCCCTGCCTGGCCCTGAAGTCTTTCAGCGCTTCACAAGTGGAGGCTACTGGTGACCCAGACCTGCATGGTGGGGAGAGCACAGCACTGGGTTCTGAGACAACTTGCAGGACAGGAGGATGTAAAGTACAGAAAAAATTTTATTGGAAATCTCTTGAATACATTTTGAAGTGTAGCTCAGTATTTCCAAACAAAGTAGGCTGGAGGAGGAGGAGGAGGGACTCTGCCACCTAGAGACAGATGGCTGGTCCCAGCCTATCCCCGGGTGCTGCAAGAGTCAGTCTAGGGCTCATACCTGTTACGGTACAGGGCCGAGGGGCAAGGGCCAGCCTGACAGTTGCCTTGTTCCTCCCAGGGTCGGCTCAAAGTCAGGACGGAGCCTCCCTGGCCTCTTCATGGGTGGGGCCTGGTGAAAGGCTGCTGCCCACAGAGGCCAACAGGGCGTCAAAGAGGACTGCTCTGGACGGTGGCCAGCAGGCCTTTCTGTGCAAGGACCTAGAGGGCAGCAGTTGCGATGTGGGTGGTGGGAAGGCATCAATAATCTACCAGGGGCCTTTCCCCTCTCAGGGCTGGGGCTTTGGGGTGTATCTGGTTCAGCAGGCCACACATGAGCTCTGGCCCAAAGACAGGAGCTGGCCACCACTGCTGGGAACATTTTTCTGTGGCAGCTGAAGCATGCACAGGGCCAGGGCTCCCCTCCAGAGCAGCCTGCCCTGGCCCTCAGAGGTCTTGTAGATGGAACAATGTCACATGCAGTTTACCAACAAGCAGTTGAGAGCCACCTGCTCCACTGAAGCACAGCTGCCGCCAATGAGTACCCTAGGCGGGCCAGGCCTAGCTTCCACGGTCAGGGCTGCCAGGGAGGCTGGAGGACAGAAGGGAGGCGGCTGCGGCTAGGCACTTGACTTATTCAAGTAACAATACCTGAAAGGTTAAGTCAATCACATGCCCAGCTTTGGTTTCTCAACAAGGAGCCAATCTAGCTAGTAAACCCCAGGGCAGTGTACAGACCCAGGGACTAAAGGGAGGTGGTGGCTAGGCCTATGCAGCAGGAGGAAAAGCTCTGTAGTCCAGTGCCAAGGATCAGGAACAAGTATCCCAGCAGGAGAGGGACACACAAAGTTCCTTGGGCACTACATGTGGTCATCACATTTAGCACCCAAGACTTCCTGGGCAGCCAGAATGGAGTCAGGCACTCTGCAGAAGCCGTGGGAGATGTACAGCTCTCACCAGGAACATGTCAGTGTCTGGGGTTAAGCCTTTGTCAGCTCAAATGCAGCAGTTCTAGGAGGTTATGTGGCCCTCAGCCAGCCCTAGCCTTGAAAGAAGATCCTCAGAGCAGCAGCCCAGACTCTGAAGAGCCTCCACAGGAGGAGGCCTCTGTCCCGGGAAGAGGCCCCCCACCTTCCCCGAGTGAAAACATCTAACCTCAAACGTATCTTCTCTATAAAATATCTGAATTCTCTGAAAGTAATAAATATTTACCATGTTCTATAACCAAGGAGCAGCAATGGGGAAGGAAAGAGAAACTATGTCATGACTCCCGGTGACAGAATCCTAGAGACACAGGATTCTGTTTGTTTCCCGTGTTGCTGAGGAGCTGAGCACAGGCATCCCCTAGAGCTGCTCTGACCCCCTAGGAAGGGCCGCACCACCTTCAGGTGGGAATGGCTGGCCTTGGAGTTCTATCTTGGGAAGGCAGGCCTGTCATATTGCCAGAAGTACAGGCACAGGTGGCAGAGAGAGGGACAGAAAGAGGAAGAAGCTAGCAGGAGGTGAAAGAGACAACGAAAAACCTAAAAGTCCCTCTCCTCCTTCCTCCCAGCACTGTCTCCTTCCTCTTTCTGCCTCCGCACCAGTTTCTGGGCCGCCAGTTGGAATGTCAAATGGTTGATGGCAACAGCAGGCAGGCAAGGGGCCAGCTTCAGGGCAGGCCCAGGTAGGGGGCTGGCAGCAGGAGGAACAGGGTGACACCCTTGTGAAGCAGCTGATTATGGCTCTGCTGAGGGCCCCTTTGTACAAAGGGTCTCTCCCCCTCCAAGGCCAGAGGGTGAGTCCTCTCAAACGCTGGTACTGGGGTGACTGCCGCCAAGGGGTTTCCAGGACGTCCAAGAGCAAGAGACTTTTGGGTCCCCATGGGGGAACCACCCTCCCTTCCATCTGGCTTGGAGCAGGATGAGGGATGGGAGCAGCTAATGCACGCGAGGCTCTCTGTCCCCTGGGGCCACAAAAGGGGGATGCTACTAAAAGTGTCCTCCAGGACACTTTTACTGCAGGGTTTCTACAAAGGCGTCAAACTCTCGAACATTCTTCTCGTGCACAGCCAGCTTCTCTGGTAACGAGTCCTGTACCAGGAAGGGAGAGAAGAGCTGATTATTCAGGTAGGGTCTTGAAGAAACAGTCAGCTCATGCCCTCAAGAGGTGAGGAAGGGAGTGGGACAAAGAGCTCTGCTGGGCAGTGCTGGGCTGGCAAGCAGAACACCGGGCAGCCGAGCAGGGAGAGGACGGGACAGTGGTGTGCGTGTGTGTCCATTTATTAGGGTTTTGTGGGGGCTGGGGAGGTTGACAAAACAGCCTGGGGAGTCCAAGTAGGCCGCACACTCAACGAGAGAGAAAATGACCATGACAAGAATGAGATAACGTAGAAATTAAACGTGAAATATCCTTGGCACAGATCCAACGGACACTGGATTAAAACAAGTGTAGGAGCACTACAAATTAAGAAAAGTCTATGAGAGGTTTCTTCACACCCTTTGCTTGGCATCAGAACCCCCGGGGGAACATGAGCAAGGCAGTGCGCCCGCACTCCCAAGAAGAGTCTCACTCGGCAGGTCTGTGTGGAGGCCCGGGAATCTCCATCTTTACACCCCTGGTGCGGGGGGTTAGAGGGGGCTGAGAAAATGGTGAAAAAGAGAGATGCAGAGGAAAACAGAACTGTGAGAAGTTTAACTATCTGGTATCAACAGTTATGAATAAAAGTCTGATCCTAACCAGGTGGTCTGTCTCCACTGGTGACTAAACGAACAAATTGCCTCTGCAGAGTCTAACCATGGCAGGAGTTGTTCCCAGCAGCGGGGGCCTAAGCACAAGGTGCTTGGCAGAGGCTGGAGATTCTCCTGCCTCTGAGCTTGTGAAGCGGCCCAGACACACTGACTGCTGAGGCTAGTTTGGGTGCAGCTGCTGAGGAGGGATGAGGCCTGGGAACCACTGGCTGTGGCATCACGTTGGGGGAACTGGATCCCATTTCCTGCCCAGTGTGTGTCAGGGGAGTTAGTGGTTAAAAGGCTAAATCCCAGAGCCAGATCCTCTGGAACCAAAGCTTTGTTTTGCCTGGCTCTGTGAGACCACAGGCAAGTTAATGAGCCGTGGCATTAGTTTTCTCATCTGTAAACTGGGACAATAAGAAAATCTACCTCTTAAGGCTGTTGAAGATTCATGTAAAGCGCTTAGAAAGATGCTTGCCACTCAGAAAGCCTTGGTAAATGTTAGTAATAATAATAACAGTAATTATTACTGTATTGTTAACTATTACTAAGCACGTTTAAAGCAGACCAAGGGCAGCTATTTATTCCTGGGGCCTCTAATGTCTATAGAGGAGGTGGTAGTTCCATCTCAGACAAAGGGACCCTGACATCTCGTGGTAGAGTTTGTGGCTTATGCAGGGCACTCTTCTGCCCTTCAGAGGCAGGAAACAGGAAATGCCCTAAGCAAGATGTGGTAGTCACGGTCAGTATCAGGACATCTGGCCAAGCAAGAGAAGACCTAGATCAGTGGTCCCCAACCTTATGGGCACCAGGGACCAGTTTCATGGAAGACAATTTTTCCACAGACCGGGGGTTGAGGAGGTGGTTTTGGGATGATTCAAGTGCATTACATTTATTGTGCAACTTATGAAGTCAATCATCAGGCATTAGATTCTCATAAGGAGCGCTCGACCCAGATCCCTCGCATGCACGGTTTACAGTAGAGCTCACGCTCCTATGAGAATCTAATGCTGCACTGATCTGACAGGATGCAGAGCTTATGTGGCGATGCCAGTGACGGGGAGCAGCTGTAAATACAGATGAAGTTTCACTTGCTCACCAACCACTCACCTCCTGCTGTGCGGCCCAGTTCCTAACAGGCTACGGACCGGTACCGGTCCACAGCCCAGGAGTCGGGGACTGCAGAGCTAGATGAGGGAGGGTGCTCTCTGTGGAAAGGACAAGAATGCTAACACTCAGGACCTTACGTTCTGCTCTGCCCTGTACCACTGGCATCTGCCTGGCAAGCTAAACAGCTGAATGCAAGAGCTATTGGAGCAGCTGGCTTAGTGGCACCAGCATGCAGAGGACATCAGGCATGACAACAGGAGTGTAAGCAATGCTGCGAATGTGCAGAGAAAGGAAGAACTGAGCACAGGCAAATTCCAGGTAATGACTGCCAGGCACAATGCAAATCTCAAGTGTGATCCAAGGAAAATAACAGTCTAAAATGTCTCTTTCCTGTTACAGGGAAGATGGAGGGGTGGGGGTGGGGAAGAGTAACAGGAAGAAATTTCTAGGCCTGTGGCACAGGAAGGACCATCAAATGAGGGTGGGAGGTCAGAGCATGCGTTGAGGTGGAGGCAGGGGTTTCCATACCAAGTCTTCGGCCATGGACTGTGCTCCAATATCTATGGAGAGGCTGCTCAGCTGAGGAGGGTTCTGAAACTCACGATAGAAGGTCCCCAAATCCATCGGAAGAATGTCATCTTTAGAAAAAGCTGGTTTCTTCAAAAAGAAGACAGACTCAGTTTAGCTTGCCTCAAACCACAGAGAAAAATCACAGAGGAGAAAACTATGAACAGGCCTCTTCCTTCCAGCCATTATTAAAGAAAAGGTTCCTTCAGACTCATCTTAGGGAGAGGAATCTTTTACACCTTTCCCTTCTGGGCCACTGACTTCCAATGCTGGTGATAATATTCCGCTGCCCTGGTTAGGTTTATGTCCCCTTCCTTCACACTCTTTTCCAAAGCCAAGGCTTATCCATCCAGGGCCTACATTGTTCACGGGCCTCCAAATGTCTCCCCAGACAGACCCTACCTGTCCCATTCCTCTGTCTGCACCAGCCCATCTGACCCCTATGAAGGAAATCTTGTTCAAGTGCAGTAGATGCTTTTAGGTTTATTTCCCCTGGGACAGCAAAGGTCAACAGGTGATGGCAACTTACGAAGTCAATCATGACGAAGTCGTCATGGGCATTGCCACTGCTGCCCCCGCTGGAGCCGTCAGAGTGCAGGCTGCCTTGGAGAGGAGACTCCGTCTCTGGGGAATCTGGAGGATTCACCTGTTTCAGAGTAAGGCAGAGTTAGGGGCTCATTCTGTGAACAGGAGGCAAGTCATTGTTAACAATCTGAGGATTTGGGGAGGAACTTAATGCTGGCTACAAATTCCTAAGCCAAGGGGCATGGCTTATGGCCTCTAGAGGATTCAGTGACTGCGGCCCAGGAAGGAAGATGATCACTACGCCAGCCACTGGAAACTGCTTGTCAATGGTGGGCTCACCATGGGATCAGTATCCTCCAGCTCCAAATTCTTGGGAGCAAACATGGCAAAAGGTATGTCCAAACTCGTCAGAGTCACCTGAGGAGACACAAGAGAAAAGCCTCAGTGCCCGCTCCACCCCCAGCTTGTGTTTCCTTACAGGCTGCCAGAAGCCTGGAGGTGCAGCAAGTTCACACACGTCAGCTGACCGCACTGGCCCTCAGGCTCCCGTGCTGTTAGAGGCTCTCCCGCCTCCCTGTCCCCACCACATACACCCACAGCATACACAAGGGCTGGGCTCCTGAGGACCCTGGGAATTCAGCTGTGGAAGCTTGACCCACAGTAACTCAGTAACAACGCGCTTCGCTGGCCTCGCTGAGGACATTCCTAATTCAAGTAAGGCAGACGCAATGACACAAGTGCAGTGTTTTTGTACTAAACGGTGTCTAGTCTCCCTCTTCTGTGGGAGACTAAAAAGGTCACAGAACAATAATTCTGAACTCTTTCTGGAGGAATGTCACAGGTTAATCCTCTTCAAAGAAAAACTTACACACATACTTTTGCATGCTATTTCAATAGTTCCACAGATGTCAGGTTAAGAACACCACCCGCAGGGCCTCACTCTTAAGGACCCAGACATTCTCACAGGGGGCGGTGGCAGAAGAATCACCTGATTGATGGGTTTGTTGACAAAAGCCCCCACTTTTCGGACAAAGATGGTCTCCAACACATCGTGGGGGGAGGCCCGTCCCTCACTGCTGTTTGATACGGTTTCAGTATCCTCACTGGAGAAGACAGGTGAAGTTAGTACTCGTTCTCAAACCACAGCAGAGATGACTTGGTCCCCCATCAACCCACCACCTGGTGGGGCTGTGGCCTAGGGCAGGGCTTGTCCCCCACTGCCCACCCACAGGGGAGATGGCGGTATGTGGTCTGGTTGCTACCACTGTCACCCTGCCTTTTGAGTTGACAGCAAAGGGCTACACTTCCTGGAATAACTAAGAGTGATACGTATGTGAATGAGACATTCTGTTGTAACTGTGTAAAGCTTACTTAAGATATTTTTCCCCTTTAGTCCAACTTGTCACTGATTTGAAGCTTACTTAAAATTTAATGGGAAATACCAGTAATAAACATCAGTTACCAGGCATATAGCAATCATAGATACAGGTAAGCAATGCCCATAAACAACTGTAATTTTAGCATTAATCTACTATTACATAGCTAGATCCCAAATTTTAACTTTTCTTTTTTTGTTGTTGTTATTTAAAAATATCATAAGACTGTATAATGTTAAATTGAAGCCTTATTTTACAAGGGACATTGCCATTATTCAAAGTCAAGAGTCCCAAATTTGACTTCTTAGCCAGCCAGAGCTCTCCCGACCCTTGACAAATTGCAGGCTGAGGTTCTCTGTGCTCCCTGCCGAGTTTCCTCCTTACTGCTTGCCCCTCATCATCCCTCTGTTCCTAAAGGTCTTTCAATGACATGTTCCATTTGGCTGTTCCCACTCCTTCCCTCGCCAGCCCTCCGGACGATGCTGAGTCGTCTCTACGCAGAGAAATGGAGCCCCACACTGTGGCTGCCAGACCAGGAGTCACAGCCCTGCAAGCAGCAGGGGGTAAGAAAAGTCCTCTGGCCAAAAACAGCAGCTCAAGGTGGGCAGGAGGACTACACAGTCAAACTGGGCTCTGGACTTCAGGCAGGATGGAGGACCAGTCCTGTATGGAGGGTTTTGAGCTCTTATTATCTACATTTAAGAATCCCCTACACAGGGGTCTGTGTCTTTAGCTACTCATGGACATGTCTCAGGAGTCAAGACTCCAAAAACTAGAGTGTAAACGGACTTTAATCATCTAACAAAGGAAGAGAAGAGAGAGGATGGAAGTTTAAGAAGCCAAGAGTGAAATAAATTATTTTTCCTGACAGATGGCACAAAAAGTCTCCCTAAACAACTTCCCTCCCACCACTTCACCGTGGGAATGAAAAAAAAAAAACCCAGGAATTTCTCTGATGAGAAAGATCATTTAGGATGTGGGCGGGCAAAGCGATCTCATTACCTCTGGGGCCTTCCATATCAGGGCCGGGCAGGGCAGGGCAGGCCAAGTCAGCCCGCAAGGCAGTCCTCGGGGAGTGCTGAGTGTAATGGAAAGAAGGGGTGGTGGCTCTGGAGTCAGAGGATCCCCTGGCGCCCTAGCCCTGTTCTGAGATGCGTTCTGAGATAAGTGAGCATAGCCAATTACTTAACTCTTCTGAGGTTCTCTCATCTCTGAAAGGGAGGTGACAGCAGTGATTTTTACAGGGTGGAAATAAGAGAACTTTCACTTCCTACTTAATGTCTTCATGACTACTTGATATAAAATTAGAAAGAAATTATCTGGACAACTAAAAATATATAGAAAAAATTAGCCGGGCATGGTGGCACATGCCTATAGTCCCAGCTACTCGGGAGGCTGAGGCAGGAGGATCGCTTGAGCCCAGGAGTTTGAGGTTGCTGTGAGCTAGGCTGACGCCATGGCACTCTAGCCAGCGCAAAAGAGTGAGACTCTGTCTCAAAAAAAAAAAAAAAAAATGTGGAAAAAGTTATTTCTAAAGGATCTCCATGAGGCTCTAATGTAGCAGAGAAAGAAATTCAACCCCAGCTACAACCACAGATACACTGTTCTTGTTCTCAGGAAACATCAAGGACTGACTCCAAGGGATAAATCTTGGGGTAAGAGAAAAACATCTGACAGCCCCTTTACTGGATAAGGGTGACAAGAACCAAGCCCCTGCTGTTTCCTGTTAGTAGCAAAGCTCCAGGCCAGCTTCATTACATCCCAGCTGCAATATCAGCTTCTTATCAGGGAACTTTAAGGAGTCTACATTTTGGGCACAAATGCCAAGCCCAAGCCAATGCTGAAAGCTACTCTTTACTGATACAAAGTAAGCACATGTGTGTCAGGGAGCCCAGGCCCATGGCCAGCCACAGCAGTGGCAGAGTCAAAATGTGAACTCACCTGCTAGAAGGTGTGGCAGCACAGTGGGCCCCGTCAGAAGGGGTGCAGGTTGCCAATCTCTCTGGGTCAGCCTGGGCGCCGTGGGCAGGTTGGTTGGGAGCAAGGGGTACCCCACCTTCCTTCCCAGGAACCATTAGCTTTGGGGAGAAATGGAAAGATATAGTGAATCATGGCAGCATCTGGCAGGAGGGGGGATGCTCACTTCCTAGCATGACAGTATGTGCTTTTGAGTTTTTCACCACCAATGCCACTGAGTGGGCAGGAATCCCTTGGTCTTTATCTTCCCTAGGACTCAGTTAATAGAATACATGCCTGGTAATGACTAGAGAGGGAGAAGAAAAGAGAGGGAGAAAAATCCTGGCAAAGTCTTCTTTCCTTTCTGAAGTCTAAGAGGCTCCTTCCTCTCAGAGAGTCACTTTAGTCCTCCAAAGTCACCAAAGAGCTTTGCTTCAGAATACAGCACTTAGAAAAATAGTTGTGCTGTCAGAGGTCCCTCAACTGCCTCCGAGCAGGGGAGGCAACACTGAAAACCCCATGGTCCTCCCCATCTTTAAAGATACCTGGTGAGGGTGTGTAGCGTTTAAGCCAGCAGCAAACACTACTGGATAAGCCAGGTCAGCTGATCCAACGCCCAGGGCAGCAGGCTGATAGGAAAGGCGAGAGCTTGAGAGCTAGGCAAGAGAAAAACAAAGAGGGGCAGAGGAAAAGCGAGGGAAAAGTAGGAAATCCTAGGAGTGTGACTAACAAGTGGGCTTCCACTGGAGAGATAAGGAACAGCTCCCAGCCCATGTGCCCATGGTGCAGGGGCCTGATGGGATAAGGGTTAAGGACAGACCAGACCACTAACTTTTGAGACAAAAACACAGAGACTTATTTGTACTGGGATTGGGATTCCCAGCCATGGAACTTCTCAAAGGCCTCAGATGAGTTCCTTATTCCCACTTTCTTAGGGGCTCAGCTAACTGTTTCAGTTTTAAGCCCAGCTGATCTGTGGAGCACAAGCCCAGGAAGAACTTGGAGCCAAAGCCATCAGGTTCTCCAGAGTCATTCTATCTCCTCCTCTGTCCTGAGCTCCTTCTGAGACAGAAGGCCGTCTTCTCTAATCACACCCTTCGTCACCCCAGGAGGTGGGAGGATGGGAGGGTTTCTATTTATATTGAAAAACGAGAGAACACCAGTCTTGAATTGTTTATTTGGAAATTTGATATAAATAACTCCATGTATTTTTCACAACAATGGTAGGAGGAGGGGCAAATGAAAACTCCTATTTTGGGTGACCGTGGCTGTGTCCTGCTAAAATCTACTACACCAAGCCTCAAAATAATCCCCCAAAACACTTGGCACATTTAAATAACATCCTGTACTTTAATTTATTTACGATTTTTAAATATAAAGATGCCATCCGATTATATCCCCTTCTTCCCATTATGGACTCACTTGATGGGAAAAGGCCAGTCCTGCCATGGGGACCCTCAGAGTGTCCGTCACCACAGGAGTAGGGGTCTGAAAATGTGCCTTTGTGACAGTAAACACACACTGTGCACAGATACACACGGAGACAGGAGAAACGAGAGAAAAAAGAAAAGGGACTTGAGAAAGAAATGAAAAAACTCTGAAAGGGTCAGTAGCAAGAGAGGCTGGAATGGACACTGGTGTGTCAGGAGTGAAGCAGGGAGAAGGTGCGTGGCTACCTTCCCAAAGGGACACCTTGGAAGGGTCCCCAGAGTGATGTTTATCTCAGGGTGTTCCAGGCATGCCCGTCTCCCTGACGAGTAGCTAGAAAACAAAGCTGAGTCGAGCTGGTATGTCTTGGCACCAGAGAGGAACCTGAGCCAAGCGTTCATCTGTCTTTAGTCAAAAAAGGGTGGGAAGAAGTTAAAGAACAGTTTCCAACAGGAAGGGCCTGAGAGCAGATGCAAGGTGTGCCAAAGATAAATGAGGATGCAGGGCTTGTAATGTTCGACTGAAAGCGTTTTTCAGGGCACCCAGAGTCTTCAGGGACAGGCAGAAACAGCTGACATTTGTTGGCCGGCACTTTAAAAAGTTCAGAATGCAGGCTCTCCTACGTCACCTTGGGGAAGATGAGTGGGTGTGCAGGGAGGTATGTGTGTGTGTGTGTTTTCTTACAGTCCCTGATGATGTAGGCAAACCTGATGGATTAAAAGGTGGGGCACTTTCGAAACTCTTATGATTTCAAAGCTACTTATGGGCCTCATGACTACTTGAGTCTAGCTGTGCCCTGTTTACCAATTAGAAACCTTACCAATTAGCTAATTAGTACTCAGAATAGGAGGTAGGACCTTAGGTCACAATGGCAGGTTTATTTCTAGATTCAACTCAGTGCCCAACTGACACAATGAACCTTGTTTTGTTGGCAAAACAATGTCACATAAACAAGTATTTACTGTACAAGTTTCAATGGAAGTTGCCAAATTGAATTATACAAGTCACTAAGGAAGAAACTATTTCAGTATTAACAGGAATGAGGAGATATAATAGCAAATAATTTTCTCTCTGTTCTCTATGCCATCAAGGTTCAAAATGAGTATTTCTGCATCAACCTGTACCAGCCTTGGTCAGAGGTCCTCAGGGAATAATGACAGGGCACTTATGGAGTATTCACTGCTGGTAGAAACTTAGAGTGATCTAGTGTTAAACTGTGACAACACACAATAGGAGACTATAACCATGAAAAAGATAGCCTCTCCTTACACAGGCCAACAAATTCTGATGAAAACATCAGGTGTAGAAACTACTTAACTTCCCTTTACTTTTGGAGTGAAATTTCCACTGTATCAGAGAAAGAGCAAAACTGAATTGGTAAGGCCCAGTCTCCCCACAGCTCATGTCTCCCAAGTCACAACTTTATTTATTGTTTATGAATCTGTTACTTGTAACAAAAACAAAACAAAAAACCCAGCTTAATAAACCTTATTTTATTTTTTTCGAGACCTGTTCCTACTCTCTTGCCTAGGCTGGAGTGCAGTAGCATGATCATAGCTCACTGCAACCTCTCGAACTCATGGACCCAAGCGATCCTCCTAACTCCGCCTTCCAAGTAGCTGGGACGACAGGTGTGCACCACCACGCCTGGCTAATTTTTCTATTTTTTGCAGAGAAGGGATCTCATTGTTGCCTAGGTCAGTCTTGAACTCCTGGCCTCAAGTGGTGCTTGCACCTCGACCTCCCAAGATGCTGGAATTATAGGCACGAGCCACCATGCCCGGTCTTGCTTAATGAACTTTAAATGTGACATATCTTCAGTTTAATTACCTAAAACTAATGTACCTCCATTAATGTGCACTAAAGAAGGTGGGTCCCTCCCTCGTGTGTCAGCATTGCTCTGTGTCAGTAAGCACTCAAGAAGCTTCCTCGGCCAGAGCAATGCCAACACTTATGCCTACATACTTTTATGGGGACAGGGGAATAACAATTCTCACACTCCCAAACCAAACTGTCTAGGCAACTTGAGAACAAGAACCTCTTCATGCTAAACAAACTAGGACAATAGAAATAATAGCGATCCATGGATTTTACAATGTCATTCACAGATGTTAACTCCTGCTTTTGAAACTGATTAGAACCATGACTTTAATCCAGTATTTACTCAACAACCCAGAATGGAAAAACATTTTTAATCTTTGGAATTAAAAAATCACAGAAAAGGCCGGGCGCGGTGGCTCACGCCTGTAATCCTAGCACTCTGGGAGGC